TAGGAACTTCAGGGCTCAAGAAATGGCACTGTAGTTACTATTTGAGTTCTATATTGAACTCCTCTGTATCCTGGATGGACCACTGGAGAACATACTCAGGAATGATATCAGGATCCAATAAAGAAAGAAAATTTTAAGAGGAGCCTATCTCTCTACCCAAAGGGCCAGGAAGCAGCAATCTAGCAAGATGAAAGGCTTTTTGCAACAAGATATGACCTAAACTGGAAAAAAGCATCAATGTCCAACCTCTATATTCTCAGATACTAGATAGAGGTAATCCAGAGATTGATGTGGTAAGACCTCATTTTTTCTTTTCTGTCTTAACACCATAGGAAAAGTGAAAAACTTGACTGAAATCTAATCAAGAGGAATTAAAACATGAAAAAGAAAGACAAAATATTCTAACTTTTAAGATAAAAATTATGTCTCTATGTTCTTAAAGAATATTACTTTAAAAAGAAATAAAAATCATTAATTGCAAAAGCAATTGGTAATTTTATAATAAAAGGAACAATTTCTGTGTATAACAATACTAAAGAACTACAAGCCAAAAATGAAGAACATATCTGAAATTATGTGATTGAAACATATTAATATCTATAATTACTGATTCCCAAAATAAATATGAAAATCTCCAAAAAGATGTTAAGAAGAACATCAAACTGCATTTCATAGATTAATAATTAACTGCCAATTAACCTATAGCTGTAAGTGCTAAATCCAATTCATAATAAAAGATACATATAAACACAACAGTGCTATAACATTTTATAGCCATTTATTTTGTAAATATTTAAATGTTTCATCATTAGCAAGAATAGAGAACAGGAATGAACTGTGGACATAAGTGTTTTTTGGGGAACCATTGGAGAAATCCTTCTAAAGCAGAGCACGCACAATGTCCAGGAAATCCACTCCCAGTTACATGTCTCAGAGAAATTCAGAGACAAACAGCATGATTGTAAAAATGTCATAACATTTCTTGGACAGATGAGTGATATTCTTGGCTACCATCTTATTTAATTCTAATTCTATAATCATTAACCATCAAATGATTAAGCAATTTCAATGTACATGTTATCACGACTTAAATGTAGTATTCAATTGTACTCTGGAGTAATGTCTACTGATAAGTGCATTTATTTTGCTAAATACTTACCAAGAAATCTGTATATTCACTTATACACACTGGAAAAAACAATGTAGTTGGTACAAGTGTTTGCTGCCATTAGTGAGATCAATCTGCTTCTCACAGCAGTTTACTTGCTGACATAGAAGCATTTGGGAGGAGGGGACCAGCCACTCTCTCTACACACAATTGTGTTCTCTTCATTTGGAAGACTATAGCCAGGATAGCACTGAACTTTCACAGATTGATACTGTACATATGTTCTTGGTGAAGATGGAGAAATTCCATTTTCCACATAATTGAAAACACATTATCCTAAGGAACAAACCAATGATAAATGAAAAAAGTAGCATTAAGTTGGTTAAAATAATAATTTAAAAATATATTTTCTATTATTTTAATGGATTGCATAGCATTCAAAAACACTGTGAACTTAAGAAAAACTAAAACTATTAGCAAATGTTTGTAAACTATAAATTATTCATGTGAAGTCATGGACAACTTGTTATAAAGGACCAAATGGGGAGGTTTTGGTCCTATAAGTCTTCCTTTGATTCCCCCTATCATTTTTTCATACACTGTGTCTCACCAGGCTGCTTCAGACTCACAATCCTCTTGCCTCCACCTCCTGAGTGCTGGAATTACAAGTGTGCACCACCACAAGTGGACTTCGGCACTATTTCTGCCATTCAAGATTTGTCTTGAAAGAATTATACATACATCATTGTTAGTACATTTACTTACTGAGGCATGGCACTGCTGGCATCCACCCTTCTTTTGTGCAGTAAATATAATCCCAGTATGAGTTTGAAGCAGTCACATATTTGCTCACAAAACAGCTGTAATATTGTCCCATAGATACTGTAAAGTATGGTCTACATTTCTCTTCATAATATAGATGTCCATGTTTTATTTGTGGAAAATCACAAGATTTCACTTGAAAAGAAAAAACATGTACATTTATCTTAGTGAACAATCATATCACAGATGAATCATTTGACCAATTAATTATCTTTTATTATTTACATAATTATACACATAGAATTAAGGTTTCCAGCACAAGGAAAGTTTAGAATTCAGATGATTGAGGGTTAGGTAACACTAATAAAGTTGAAATTACATCTTATGTGTCACAGAGAAGTGGTTGTGAAACTTGGTTACTACTGAAATAGTTAAGATATGGTAAGCATTTCTTTGTTTCTAGTTTAAATTAGAAAATGAGGTATTTTTAATAAATTATAAAATATTTTAAGATGAGTTACAGTATAACTAAATTTCATTGTGTTATCCTTAGGTATCAAATAATTTTAACACACATTTTAACTGCCACATTGTTTATTATATTGACAGGTATACACATAGTATTTTTCAAAAATATTCCTTTTCATGAACTGATTTAGAAAAAAATAGTATTTTAAATTTCAGAATAGTGTTCATTTTTCTCATGAAATTTTCTATTTTAGGAAACCTTATGCAATGTGTTTAAAAGAATTCCTCTACATGCTTGCATTGACACACACAGACATACATATTTACATACACACATGGGCACATACATGCGATACAGATACACATTGCTCACACACATATACACACACATGAACACAACCTTTGCACTCACACATGCACACACAATATTTTATAGCATTCTTATTTATTGATTAATTTCTCTTTTTGCTTGATAAAAGAAAATTTTTTGAGAAGTTCCTCCACACTGGAGATATGAATTATACATGTTGGATTCTTGCCAATGCTACATGCGTTTCTTTAACAAAGGCTAAAGAATGACACTTTTCTGGGTACACTCTCTTGGTGTGTAGTCCTTATCCCTATCATTGACACATATATCCCCGCACTTATGAAGCCTCCAATGTTGAAATTAAGGTGCTTATTTAGGATTTAGTTTCATTTCTTTCAAGTAACATTACTTTTTTTCCACAGTCTTGTTTTTTTTTTTTTTTTGGTGGGACTGTGATATGAACTCAGGGCTCTTATTATTTTGGAGATGGGGTCTTGTGAACTATGTGCCCAGACTGGCATTGAATTACGATTCTCTAGATCTCAGCCTCCCAAGTAATTAGGATTATAAGTTTTAGCTACCATCATCATCATCATCTTCTTCTTCTTCTTGTAAAGTTTTAGAATATTTTCTATCTGACTTTGGATTTTATGAATTGCATCATGCTGTGTCAGTACATGTGTCATTTAACAATAACTGTGTCTTAGGTACTTTGCTCCATAATCTAATAGGAATTTTAACTGATTTGTTAAAAAAAAACTCACTCACTTTAATCCAAAAACAAAGTACCCGCGTCTTTTCCTCATACTGACCTATTAAAATAAACACTCTGGTTCAGGTAGGCGGTTTCCCACCAGGAATGTGCAGCCCTCCCGATTCCAGCTTTCTGTTTTATGTTTTATGTCTGTATATCGGCGTGTGTCTTATTTCTCATTCCCCGCCACTCTCAGTCAGGTTCACGCAGCATACCCACACAGGTCGTGGGCAGGTATACACTAATTGTACATAATAAAAAATTGCATTATGACATTTCCATACAAGTATACTATGTACTTTTATCATATTTACCCTTTCATTTCTCTCTCATTCCCCTCTGTTCACCTGCTTTTCCCTTTACTTCCTTAGTAGACTGCCTCCCAGCAGAGTTACTTTTAAAGTATAACTAAAGGAATTATTCAAATAAAAATGAAAAGATAACAGTAGGTGTTTGAGAAAAACTGCTACTGTTCTCTTCACGAGGTAGAAAAAAATAATGTAAGTGATAAAAAGAAAGGAACACAGAATAATAGATTATCTTTCTCCTCATGAATTTGCTCAACTACGATGTATAATAATTGTGCTCAATGTGCATACAGGAAATACTAAAGGTATTTTAATTTACAATGTGGGAAGGGTAAATGGAGTTATGTGTAAGTTTCCATATTTGAATTGAAGTATAAACTGTTGACACTAGTACAGAGAAATACTAATAACTAGAGCAACAACTTTAAAAGATGTGAATGGAAAACCTACAAGACAGATACACTCAAAACAGTGAAGATAAATCCAAATAAAATTCTTTTAAAGATATTTCCTAGAGAAAGGGAGGAAAAGAGAAACAGAACTGAGAAACATAGAAAGCAAACAAAAACAAAGAAAATAGCAGACAGCTTTAGCATATTGAAAATTATTTTAAACGTAAATTGTCTAAATACATCATTGAAAGACTGAGAATCACAAGAGGGATTGGTTAACAAGACCCAACTATATGCTATCATTATCAAATTCACTTCAATAACAACAAAGTAGGTACAATAAAATTAAAGCAGAGAAAAATACCAGGTGAAATTAATGTTAAAATGTCATTCATTTCCATGGATGATATAATGTCTCCATTGTTAATTTTCCTTATTTCCTGAGATCTCCATATTGGAGTGCTCATGACGAAGTACACACACTTCTTTTATAAATACAGAAATTCACTGGAAGACCTTAGTCATATAATCTAAATACTGAAGATGCCAAAATTTATATCAGATCCTATGATTGAGCTATATATATTCCACATCTCAAAGTGGTTGTCAAATGTACATAATCTGTCTTGTATATACTTGATCCTTGACAAATAACAATGCCTTAAGGATTAGGATGAAGAATTACCCTTGGTTATTATTTTTCCTTCAATCTGGCTGGATCTATCTTGAAAAAATTTACAGTATTTCCTGCTCAATTCACAAAGAGAATAAAACTTTTAGCCCAAACATTTTATTTGTATTCAAAAATATTTTCAACAAGAATTACTCCTATTTTTATCAGTATATTTTATCCTAATTATATTCTCTAACAAAAACTGGAGAATACTGAATACTTTACCTTTGCATTGAGGTGGTTTGGTCCATGTCCCATTTAGACACATAACCTCTTCTTCCCCAAATATTTCAAAAAGTTTGTTACACACCTAACATACTCTCTCACCAGATAGTTATTTGTCCATCTGTCTTGATATTATAGTAGCATTTTCCACCCTGGGTTTATTCACACAGGCATTATCTAAATAGAAATAAAAAGAAAGTATCTTCATCCAATATTCATTTTGAATAGACAGTGATTGGCTATAAAATTTCCAAAAAATTCAAGGATAGCTGAATATCAGTAGGTAAATCTATCATGAAGGATGTGACTGCTTGTAATAAATTTCAGTGTAATGCTGAGGAATAAAAGATATATTGCTCACATCCTTAAGTCACTTTCCCATTCTTCATGAAAACATTGACAGACCTTTTCTCACTTGGCAGCCAGTGAAAATGAAACTTCTCATGGAAGTTTTATGGAGTTTAGTTGAATAAATATTTCAAGTTCTATAAATCCAAGATGAATCAAGAAATTGCAAAAATTGAGAATAAAGAGTTTACATGGAATTATTCTTGGTTTGTAAGCATCCTGTTTATTAATTGTTATTTTGCATCTTAAAAATAAGCCTAAATAGGTATTTCCATGGAAAATGATTTGAGAATTAAGAGCACAATTTAAAGAATACCATAGTTTAAAGAAGAGAAATATAACCAAATAAAAAAATCTAATTGAAGATGTGAGAAAATAACAGAATAGTAAGTCTATAATTGCAGAAACAATTATTTAATAATTTCTTCAAATTATACTATAATGAGCAATGTATAATTAATTATATATTTTAGGTACATGGGTAGAAATAACAGGTTATAGCAATGATTCCCAAAATGAGGTGTGCATAAATTCCCCTGGAGAACTTGATAACACATTTCCAAGGTCCCCCCTCCAGACTTTTGGATTCAGAAGGTCTAAGATGAGATCATGAATATTAATTTACATTTGGAAAAACCTATTCAAAGATACTGATGGTGTTGGTCAAAGGACCACACTTTGAGAACCACTGAGCTATCAGATTAGCCATTAGATATTCAATTTCACTTTCATTTTAAACATAAATCTACTTTGTCTTGACTTAAAAATTAATCTTGCCCATTGTTCATGATGCTAGACAACTGACATCTCCTAGGACACTTTAATAACTGCCTTTAAAAGTCCATTAAACTACCTATGCATGTTGGCTCTCCTATCCATTTGTCGTTAATACATGTAACAACGTTGGATCCAATCAATTGGTAATGTGGTGGACACTTGTAAGTCAGTTGTTCTCCTGAGCTATATGAGTCCTTCCTCTGTCCTGTGAGTATGGCAATCCCAATGCTGAGTAAATTAAAGCAATCTGTTCCTGAAGGGAAAAGAATATTCAGTTTTTTCAGTAAAACTTAAAATACGTATCTAATATTATATCCTAAAATAACATTTATCTATGCAGAGAACCAGTGATTACCATACAATAGATTTATTATCAAAATATGTTCCCAGTTTTAACTTAGTTGCATTCAACTGTTCTAAATTTATCAAAAGTATAATAGGCATGATATTTCTTCATGCCTAAAGAAATACAGTGGTTAAAATAATTAAGATCTCACTTTCTTGTGATCAAATAAATTTCTGTCATACTTGCCACTGATATAAGGTATTTATACACTTTCCTTTTAACAAATGTAAGTATTGATAATAACTGTACAATTTTTAGGAAATATGTATTAGGAGCAAAATCAGTGATAAACTGTCACAGATTGATGAGTAGGGTAATCTGTGCTGCAGCAGTACAGATAAAAAGTCTGAGAATGTCTCAGAGTGTGCTGAAATTTCACACAAGATGACATGAAAATGAAGTAATTTTTTTCTCAAGATGTCACACTTTTTCTTTTTCTTTTATTACTCAGCATCCACGACTTTTAAGAGATAACTTCAGGAAATTCTGGAATTACAGCTTACTTTTTTACTTGTACCCTTAATCCTTTGAATCAAGTTTTCTGTCTCACACAATAAAATTAAATATACTGTACTTATGCATTCTGGTGCAGTGGACCATTTTCTTCCTACACATTTAATGAATGCAGGTCCGTCAATTCCAAACCCTTCTGAACAATCGTATGTAACTTCTTCTCCATATTGGTAACTGTCTAACTGGCGAGACACAGCACCATCACGGATCAAAGGTGGAGGACCACACGGAAGTCTTACAAAGCACAATGACAGTAACGTGATGAAATTGTTCCATTTTTCCACTAACTTGGGTATTCTCTTCTTCACCCCAGTTTTCATATTTAGTAGTTATTGAAATAAAAACAGAAGCTGCTATGAGATCACAGAGATGGCACACAAATGTGTCCTAAATCCTCCTTGCCTGGTGTCTGTTCATTCTTCTCAACCTCAGGAAGAACTTCAGACCAAAAATGTCTACACATTTAAGAGAAAACCAAAGTTTATCTCACTATTCATGAGCAATAAAAGGAAACATTGAGCATTAATAATCCTAAGAAAAGTAGCACACACTGTAAAAACTCATAAGGGACATTATAGGAAAAATACTAAAAATATTTCAGAACCTGGTGGCAAAGAAAACACTATGATTTACATAAATAGAAAAATTTAAATGACTACACATATTTTTAAAAAGAAATACCAGAATTAAAACTAATTTTGTAATGAACCAATAAAATTTTTAAAGAATTGATTCAATTATGTATAAAACATCACAATGGTAAAATCTATAAATGATTTTGTTTATTGTTGTGCTGGGTGAGGGTACATTGTGGCACTTACAAAATATTTTGCAATGTATCAAATATATCACACTTTAATTTAAATATAGGAATCTAAATTATACTATTCCCTGACTTTTGACAATAATTCTTTTTAATGATTTTTTCTAAAAATACAGAATTTTAGTTTTATTTTATCCTGACCTACACCTAGAGGTGGAGAGCTCCATTTTCCCATGTGGCACGTTACTGCATCTTCTCCAGATAATCTGTAGCCATCCTCGCAAATATAATTTAACTTAGTTCCATGGTCATGAACTCTGGATTCAATTGCTTCTTTCCTTTCTTCTGAAAATCTAGAGTATATAATGGTTCTATGGTCTATTGTAGGTGGTTGAGAACATGGTATTTTTTTATATATGAAGAGAAGAAATCAAATAGTCAAGTAAAAATAAAATATTTAAATTAAAAAATAAAATCAAATACATTTTGGGTTGTATCTCCAAAGCATCTATATTGTCATCTTTTTCAATATCCCCTTTTGTGTGTGTCCTATTCATTATGTGGTATAAAATATTCATAAAAGGAAATTTGATCTGATAATTTGCATATTGTTCCAAAGTGTCTGTATTTTGCTCACAAAAGTGAAATATGATTGATTTATATATTTAGATAATAATTTATAGTATTAGTTTATAATTCATAACATAGTTAAAGCATAGTAGATGCAGAGAAAAGTCTTCATAGATTTTCATTTCTGTAAAGCACCTCAACTGAAAGAACGTTATAAAACAAGTTGTACAGTACTGACCAACACAGCGTGGTATTGACTGCCACCTTCCATCTTTGTCCACAGTCTCTTCTGTTTCTTGAGTTACTTAATTTTCATGGCTAAGAACAGGTACTTTTTCTCCATCTTGATATTTCACTGTTGTTGTCATAACTCGAGCATTAGGAATCTGAGATGGAGGTGGGTATGAGTCCAGTTCTACCTCCAGAAAACACTTAAATTAGATTCTTGATTTAAGAAAATCATAGTATAAAATAATAAAAGAGTAATTTTCAGCAAATAGAATATTCATTAACTATGAATCACAAAGGATTATATAATAATGTTCTATGTTTATATATTTTTTTCTAATTGAATAGCAGCTTAATATCTTTTCTTGGGGTAACTTTGTAGTTCTTTTAACTTACTATTTCTTTAAGCAATCTTCCATAATTTATATGAGTTACTTTAATTATTTCTAACCTTTAGGATGTTTTAAGTGAATTATATGCTTTTAGTATCATGTATGAAATATAAATGATATTAAGGACTTTTTAGAGATATGTATGATCAAATATATTGTGATCAGATTTAAATCCTCATGAGATGTCTACCAATAGAAGTTGATTAGCAAGAAGAAAAATTATATTATATTTAGTTAATAATTTTTATCGACTCTTGACCAATGTAAATATTACAAGTGATTTCTAACATGCTACTTAAAGTTTGAGCTTACCTTGACCAACTATTTACTATCTTACCTGTACTGTTTTAAGGGTATATAAGTTGGCAATGTACACCCAGTTTAATGACCTCACAGCCCAGTTTTATCTCCATAATTAGTAAGGAATTAAAGATCCTTGTGCAAACTTGTGTCTGAGCCTCAGTGGAACTGAGACACTCAGATGTATCTTGGTGGTTCATAATGCACCATCATGTCTGGCTTGCTTTTGAGATAGGGTGTTGCTAGTTGTTTTCTTTTTAGGACTGGCCTTGAACTACCATCCTTCTATCTCTGCCTCTTCCAGATTACAGGCATGAGGACACATATTTTCTCACTTATGTTGCTAAATATCTTGACATATTTTCAATGCAGTGAGGAAAAACAATAAAATGTAGAAAATGTAAATGCAAACTTACTTATGCAGGTAGCTTCAGGATCCCATCTTCCATTTACGCAGATTGAGTGTTCATATGCTTGCTTTCCTCCACATTTATAACTTATGTTAAAGTTATGATTAAGTTAATTCCTATCTGATTGACTTCCTTAATGTGCAGTTAACCTTGGTGCTCTACACTTCTCAAGTTGGTCTGTTGCTATAAAATGAAAAGACCAATTACAAGAACAAGGTAGTTATTACATAAAATTAGATACAGTCAATGTATAATGAAACTTAAATTTATGCCAATAAGTTCCAACAATTAAATTGTTCCTGATAACAATTCATAAAGTGGAGTATTATATATGAACATGTCTCATGTCCAGTCTTTGAAATATCAGAAACATTATCTGCGATAAAGATATTTCATACATTGGGAAGTAGAAGAGCAAAAGTGGTTCACTTTCTTGGATGATCTACACAATAAAAATTTATCACATGACAACATTTGGACCTATACATGGAATCTCTGTGAATTGTCAATTGTTCATATTCATTAACTTCCTGTTGTACACATCACTACATTATTTTAGTGTGTAATCCCAAAATATTAAAATAAAACTTTATCTATGGGAATAGAATATATATGTGTTCTTGGAGATAATATAATCAGTAAATACATTCAATATATATTGTATAGAATAAGAATAAGCAGATTTTTGCATGACTATCAGAGAGTGAGAGAAATTGAAATTATGAGAGAATAGAAATTATGATGTTTTATTTTTTTGTTTGTCTTAATTTTTTTGTGATGAACTGTGTTCTTTATATACACTTAGAGGCTTTGAGAAGTTATTTTATATGACAGGTCATATTATAATCCAATAATATGATAATGTCACAATAATAAAATTATGCTGGCTCTGTTAGGAATTAAATATGGACTATGCAATCTGTTAATATACTATGTGTTTTAGTCAGTGAAGAAGAGAGTTCTTTTTGAATTTGATTTGATGTCAGTGTGGGTCTCTGAAAATATTTTTTAATAACATGAATAGGAGAGTCAAGTGAGGATGAACCGAAGAAAGAGAAATAAGTAATTAGCCAAAGTTCAGTAATGATTTTATAAACAGACCTTAAAATAATAAAGTGGACTAAGTCAAAGATTACTAGAAACTTGAGAATTAGTCCCATCCTCAGGCCTGGTCCAAAGTGTCCAGGAAGACAAAGCCTGATGTTCTCCAAGAGGTGGAGAGTCAAGGCAGATCTATGGCCAAGAGGAATGGTGGTCGTTGTGGCTGTGTCTTGTGATTGACCTGTCTGTGAAAGGATTTTTTTGTTTATTGGGAGAAAGTAGACATATCAAGAAGTTTGAGAAAGCTAGACTAGTGGAAGATACGAAGCAAGTATTGAAAGGGTAAAATTTAAGTATAGCCTCTTATAGCTGGAAAAAGAGTATATGACACTTGGTATAGGTAGATAAACCAAGGAAGGAAAATTCTCAGATGAAAATAAATAATAATTAAAGTGAAGTTTTGATATGGCATAGAATGAGGAATTAAGAATTTTCATGTTTGATATTATCTTGGGGTTTTATCCCAAATGAAATGTGATTAAATTATTTGTTAAAATGGAAAATGATAATAATGAGTTTAGTAGTTATTAGACAACTGAAGGCAGTCATTTTGACAAAGAATGTGTATAGCAAAAAAAGTAAGGGTCAATAGCAGCAAGAATTATTGATTCATTTGATAGACTCTTACTGAATGTCGCCTATGTCTCAGTCAGTCTTCTGAGCATTGAGAATGTATCATCGACCAAAGCAGGTATAAATTCCTGTCCCCAAGGAGCTTGACATAGTCCTGGGATTAATTCATCTTTACCCCAGTGACTGAGTAAAACTAGATGTTAAGGACTATCTGAATGAAAGACCCAGGAATCTCTAGAAAAAGAAAGTATAAGGGAAAAGTGAACGCAGGCCTTCAAGATCCTTCTTGGCACTCATCAGGACTGGATCCCCAAGAAGGCAGTGTGTTTCACTGGCAGAGTGAAGTCCATTCATGAGATCTGTTTCTTGGCCCAATCCCAGACATCCTCATATCCTGATGGAAAGGGTCTGCCCACCTGCTCTGCAGCATACTTATTTCAGTCGGCTACGTTTGAAACAAACTGAGGATTTATCCTTGTTAGAAACTCTGAGAGAAGAAATATTCCAAGGGAGAGTAGTAAGTAGACTTCACTTCTTTACTTTCCAGGGCCTAAATGAATGTCATATAATAACAGCAATGGTACTTACATTGTTTGGTAATTTCATATTTTAATCATGTAATAATTTATAAGTTAGATCCAACTTCACACTTAGAAGATAAATAATATCAATATCAGGGATTGATTAAAAATTCTATTGGTAGTTTTAGTTTTCTTCTGTTGACACCTACTGAATTGTCAATAAACAATAAAAGTTTGGCTTCATTATATCTACCACTAGATATTTCAAGAACATCACTAAATTTAAAAATATAGTTGTAAATTCTTTTGCAGTGAAATGACTGAATGTTAAACGTTGAGTTGAGAACGGTGTTCTCACCAATGCATTGAGGAAGTTGGGACCATGTCCCACTAACACACGTGATTGAGCTGTGTCCAATCATTGTGAAGGTCTCCGTGCAAGTGAACGAGACTGAATCTCCATGGTGATGGGGAGGGGCAGTGGGCTGTGCGTAGCCATGCTCAAGTTCAGGGATGTCTCCACATGTTCTCTCCTCCTCTGTGCAAATTTCACGCAAATAATATGATTATGATTAAGACACAATGTGCATGTTAAGTGAAAGCAAAAGTGTTTACTTAAGCTTAAGTACTCGTGTTTTAATTACCAATACATATTGGCAAGGTTGTCCACTCTCCATCAACACTGAATTTTATTTGGTCCTTTTATCAGAAGTCTAGGATCGCAGCTATATTCCACAATTTCACTGTGTCCGTATACTTCTTTCTTCACTCCTTTAACTTTCCCATTGAGGAGTTCAGGAGGATGACCACATGACTGTACTTGATCTACAGCAGAAATACTGTGTAAATGAGGGTAGCATTGTCCATTTTGCACTTTTATAATCTAGTTAAATGTTAAACATTTTCTCTTTAAATGTATTCATCATGTAATTCATTATAGCATGCTTAATGAAGAAAAGAACATTTATACTGGATTGATGTTTTCAAATATTAGCATTTGTATTGAAATAGCATTGGAAATATATCTAAGGCAATAAATATGTTTAATAATCTAGCTACTTTAAGGATGCATGGTAATCTGTAATCAAATGCAGTTGTGAAAATTATATTAATTTTTATGTCCCATGCTAATATGCATTTTATAACTCTTAGAAGAAAGTATCAGCGCTGAAGCAAGCATTTGATCAATATGTTTAAATCTGATTAGCAATGTACTCTAATAAGTTAAGTACAAGACATTCAAAGAAACATGAGGTAAGGCCCCTGTTTTTATAGCATGTACAGAAATAAGTAACAGCAGCAGTGTAGGAAAAATGAAAAATAAAAGCCTCTCCAAGCTCAGCATCCATATTGTATGTATAAATATTCTCAATACATATTTACAAGCAACTGATGTTCACTTCTTAAATAAATAAATCTGTGGTTTCTACAACCCAACATTAGTCCTTCATGGACATATCTCTGACCTAATGCATTAGATTACAGACACACAAAGACAACAGAAAGTTAAGAGAAGAAAAAGGTTTATTTTCAAAATTCAAATTCTTGTTTCATCAATTGTAAGAAAATATTCACCTTTACATATTGGGAGTTTAGGGGACCATCCAAAGGGATAGTATTGCACTGAATCTGGTCCAAGTCTTATGAGTCCTGGTCTGCAGGAGAATTTCAACAAATCTCCAACTTTATATTTTTCTTTCTTGGGATCAACAAATAAATGTTTTTCCATTTTGGGAATCCTGCATTCTTTTGCTTAAATAAGAAAATAATATATTGAGATTATATAATTAATCATTGCCAAAGTAAATGTCACATTTGTCATGTCAAAATAAGGTGTCCAGGGGAGCTCCACCATGATGTGTCCAAGTTATAAATTGTGATACTCCTTCCAAAGTGTCATATCTCAACACCAACTTACAAAAATAGCATTATTATTTACTGAAATGCTTATGAAACATTGAAAGCAAACATATGAGTCCCTTGATGTCTCACTCTTTCTCCCATCAACATTGAGGTCCTACTTGTACCTTCCACCACAAAAGTGTGTCACAAACCTGTCCTCTGCTCTGCATGTGCTCAGCCATCATTTTACCTCAACTCCAATTCTTACCCTCCGTGGACTCCTTGCTTTGTATTTGGACACCAAAACACATCAGCCATGCAAGGGAGGGATAGGACAAGGGAAGGAAACTAAAAATTTAAATGTGTTTGATGTGCTCACTGTACAGGAATGAATACAGAAATTTTAAACTCGCTGGGGCCACCATGGGAAGAGGATTAGGGAGGAGTGAGGAGGACTGGGTGAGGTGAATCAATTGGGGTTGTAGTACATATGGGAATAGAAAAAACACACAGAAACTCCCGGGGTAGCTACCTTTATCTAAAATTAGCAAAAACCTCTTGTTTCTCATTTTATCTCTTATGGTTTTTCTTCTACAAAATTGGAGAACAGGAGGTCAGAAAATGTTCTGCCTGGGTTGTGGGGTGTTGGCACCAATGGGAGGGGGAAGGTGGCAGGGAAAACGGTAAGAGGATAAATACAGTGCAAATAGTGTATACATATGTATGTAAGTCCAAAAATGATACCTGTTGAAACTGTTCTAGGAATCGGGGCAGGGGGTATGAAAGAGAGCAATGGAGGGAGTAAACCTCCTTTGTAAATGCTACAATTTACCACCACCAGCACAATAAAAACAAAACAAAATAAAACCTTTCAAATTTACATATCAAACTATATAATGTCTTTCCTTTAAACTCTTCTATGGCTCTTCATCAAACATAAAATGAATTCAAATGTTAATGTGACCTGAACTAACCTGGATACTCTTTCTCTTGTATCAGTTCATAAAATTCTTCTACATCTTGACTGCAATCTGCTCACTCCATGGTTTCCAAATATTATTTTCAAAGCTTTGCACACACTATTCCTTTAGCTTGGAAGAGACTACATATGCTCATTTTCCCATATATTCATATGCTCATGTCTTCTATAACCTGGGGAAGAAGGCAATTGATCTTTAAACATAGGAGAGAGTCTTGAATAGGCACCATTAATTTAATGCATTTGTCTCCTTTTTTGTGTGTTTGCTTTTGAGGTGGGGAGTCTTGCTATGCAGCCCAGGCTGGCTTTGAACTTGGGATACTCCTGTCCCAGCCTCTCAAGTGCTAGTATTGCAAGTGTGTGCCACCATGTGTGGCTAATGCATTGTTTTATTTATTTATTTATTTTGTTCATTTGTTCACATGTGCATACATTGTTTGGGTCATTTCTCCACCCTGCCCCCTTCCCCACCCTTTCCCCCTTTCCCCCTCAGTTTCAGGTAGGTCCTGTTCTGCCTTTATCACTGATTTTGTTGAAGAAAAGACATATGCATAATAAGAAAGACAAAGCTTTTTTGCTAGTTGAGTTAAGGATAGCTATAGAGAGAGATTCCTACTATTGCTTTTGTGTACCCATGTGTTAGGACCCATGTTGATTCAACTCTAACTGATCTTCACATTGGTTCCTGATCCCCTGCTCATGATAACCTGTTGTTTTAAAGTTTCTGTATTACTTCCTCTGGAGTGGGGACATCAAACGCTTTCATGTTTTTGGTTTTTCTACCTATTCTTATATCTCCCGTATGTACTCTCCCCTTTTCTTGTGATCCAAGTCCAACCACATTGCTGCATTTGCCCTAGATCTAAAGTCCACATATGAAGGAGAACATAGGAATTTTGGTCTTCTGAGCCTGGCTGACCTCGCTCAGAATTATGTTCTCCAGTTCCATCCATTTACCTGCAAATGATAAGATTTCATTCTTCTTCATGGCTGAGTAAAATTCCATTGTGTGCAAGTACCACATTTTCTTGATCCATTCATCAGTAGTGGGGCATCTTGGTTGTTTCCATAACTTGGCTATTGTGAATAGCATTGCAATAAACATGGGTGTGCAGATGTAACACAGGAGTAACCTGTGTTACATTCCTTTGGGTATATTCCCAGGAGTGGGATTGCTGGATCATATGGCAGGTCTATGTTTAGATTTTTAAGAAGTCTCAAAATTTTTTTCCAGAGTGGTTGTACCTGCTTGCATTCCCACCAGCAGTGGATTAAGGTTCTTTTTTCCCTATTGGCCATTTGAATTTCTTCTTTTGAGAAAGTTCTGTTTAGTTCAGTTGCCCACTTCTTAATTAGTTCATTGATTTTAGGAGAGTTTAGCTTCTTAAGTTCCCTGTATATTCTGGTTATCAATCCCTTGTCTGATGTATAGCAGACAAATATTTTCTCCCACTCTGTGGGTGGTTCTTTCAGTTTAGAGACCGTTTCTGTTGTTGTGCAGCAGCCTTTTAATTTTGGGAAGTCCCATTTATTCATCCTTTCTCTCAGTTGCTGGGCTGCAGGGTTCTATTGAGGAAGTCTTTGCCTATACTTGTTTGTTCCAGAGTGTTTCCTGCTCATTCCTGTAGTAACTTCAGAGTTCCAGGTCTGATATTTAGGACCTTGATCCATTTTGAGTTGATACTAGTACAGGGTGATAGACATGGATCTAGTTTCAGTTTCTTGCAGACGGATAACCACTTTACCCAGCAACATTTGTTGAAGAGGCTGTCTTTTCTCCAATGTGTATTTTTGGCACCTTTGTCAAAAATGAGGTGAGTATAGTTGTGTGGATTTTTTTTGAGGCTATAGTGAATGGAATTGTTTCCATACATTCCTTCTCAGTTTGTTCATTGTTGGTATAAAGAAAAGCTAATGATTTTTGTAAGTTGATTTTGTATCCTGCCACTTTTCTGTAGCTGTTTATGGTGTCTAAGAGTTTTTGGGTAGAGTTTTTTGGGTTTTTAAGGTATAGGATCATATCGTCTGCAAATAAGGATATTTTGACAGTTTCTTTACCTATTTGTATTCCTTTTATTTCTTCTGCCTAATTGCTCTGGCTAGGAATTCCAGTACTATGTTGAATAGGAGTGAGGATAGTGGGCACCCTTGTCTTGTTCCTGATTTTAGGGGGAAAGGTTTCAGTTTTTCACCATTAAGTATAATGCTGGCTGTAGGTTTGTCATACATAGCCTTTATGATGTTGAGGTACATTACTTCTATTCCTAGTTTTCTTAGAGCTTTTATCATAAAGTGGTGTTGGATCTTTTTGAAGGCTTTTTCTGCATCTATTGAGATGATCAAGTGGTTTTTGTCTTTGCTTCTATTAATGTGCTGTATTACATTTATAGATTTGCATATGTTGACACACCCTGCATCCCTGGGATGAAGCCAACTGGGTTGTGGTGAATGATCTTTCTGACGTGTTGTTGGATTTGGTTTGCCGTTATTTTATTGAGGATTTTTACATCAATGTTCATTAGAGAAATTGGCCTATAGTTCTCTTTTTTGGAGGTATCTTTGTTTGCTTTTGGGATGAGAGTAATATTGGCTTCATAAAATGAGTTAGGCAGTGTTCTTTCCTGTTCTATTTCTTGGAACAGTTTAAGGAGAGTTGGTATTAGTTCTTTTTTAAATGCCTGATAGAATTCAGCAGTGAATCCGTCAGCTCCTGGACTTTTCTTTTTTGTGAGGCTCTTGATGGCAGTTTAAATTTGATTTGTGTTATAGGTCTGTTCAGGTTATTAATATCCTCTTGGTTCAGTTTTGGGTGGTTGTAAGTTTCTAGAAATCTGTCCATTTCTTCAAGATTTTCAAATTTATTAGAGTACAGGCTCTCAGAGTAATCTCTGATGATTTCTTGGATTCCCATGGTGTTTGTTGTTATCTCCCCTTTTGCATTTCTGATTTTACTGATTTGGGTTTTTTCTCTCCTCATTTTAGTCAGGTTTGCTGTCAATCTTATTTATTTTTTCAAAAAACCAACTTTTTGTTTCATTGACTCTTTGTATGTTTTTTTTTCATTTCTATTTCATTGATTTCAGATCTTATCTTAATTATTTCTTTCCTTCTGCTTGCTTTGGGATTTGTTTGTTCTTGTTTTTCTAGGAGTTTCAGCTGTAGTGTTAGGTCATTGATTTGAGATCTTTCTGTCCTTTTGATATATGTACTAATGGCTATAAACTTTCCTCTTAGGACTGCCTTTGCTGTGTCCCATTGGTTCTGGTAGGTCATGTTTTCATTTTATTAACTTCCAGGAATCTTTTAATTTCCTCTTTTATTTCATCAGTGACCCATTCATTGTTGAGTAATGTGTTGCTCAGCTTCCAATTGTTTGCTGTTTTTTATTGTTATTTTTGTTGTTGATTTCTAGTTTTAATGCATTGTGGTCAGACAGAATGCATGGGATTATTTCTGTTTTCTTATATTTGCTGAGGCTTGCTTTGTGCCCTAAGATATAATCAATTTTGGAAAAGGTTCCATGGGTTGCTGAGAAGAATGTATATTGTGCAGAAGTTGGATGAAATATTCTGGTGACATCAGCTAGGTCTATTTGATCTATGGTGTGATTTAGTTCTAGGATTTCTTTATTGATTTTTTTGCTTGGATGACCTATTTATTGATGATAGGGGGCTATTCAGTTCTCCCACTACCACTGTGTTGGAGTCTATATATGGTTTTAGGTCCTTCAGAGTGTGATTGGTGAAATTGGGTGTAATTGTTATTTCCTTTTGGTCTATTTCCCCTTATATTAGTGTGGAGTGTCCTTCTTTATCTCATTTGACCAATGTAGGTTTGAAGTCTACTTTGTCTGAGATAAGTGTTGCTACCTGTGCCTGTTTTCAGGGTCCATTGGCTTGGTAAATCTTCTTTCAGCCTTTCACTCTCAGCCAGTACTCATTTCTGTCGATGAGATGGTCTCCTGTAGGCAGCAGATTGTTGGGTCTTCCTTTTTAATCCAGTTTGCCAAATGTTGTCTTTTGATGGAGGAATTTAGTCCATTAACATTCAGTGTTAGTATTGATAAGTACGTGGTGATTCCTGTCATGTAGTTGTCATTGATGATTAGAGGTGTGATTGTGTGTAGCTGAATCAATGTTACTCTTTACTTTTTTGCCTTTTCTTCTCATGTGGTTTGGTATTGCCTGCCCTTTCATGGTTTTGTTTGCTTATATTTTCTGTGTGGAGAATTCCTTGGAGAATCTTTTGTAGTGGATCTTGGTGGTCATATATTGTGTTAATTTCTGCTTATCGTGGAGGACTTTTATTGTTCCATCTATCTTGAATGATAGTTTTGCTGGGTAGAGTATCCTAGGGTCGAAGTTATTTTCATTTAGTGATTGGAAGTTCTTACCCCAAGCTCTTCTTGCTTTTAATGTTTCTGTTGAGAAGTCTGCTGTGATTTTGATGGGTTTTCCTTTGTATGTTGTTTTTTCTCTCTTACAGCCTTCAATATTCTTTCTCTAGTCTCTGTAATTGTTGTTTTAATGATAATATGTTGTGGGGTAGTTCTATTTTGGTCAGGTCTGTTTGGTGTTCTGGAGGCTTCCTGTACCTGAATGGGCATAGTTTTCTCTAGATTTGGGAAGTTTTCTGTTATTATTTTGTTGAATATATTACACATTCTTTTTGCTTGCACCTCTTCTCCTTCAATTCTCATGATTCTCAGGTTTGGTCTTTTGATGGAGTCAGTGAATTTTTGCATTTTCTTTTCACAGGTCTTGAGTTGTTTAACTAGTAGCTCTTCAGTTTTTCCTTTAATTGCTATTTCATCTTCAAGTTCTTAGATTCTGTCTTCTGTTTGTTCTATTCTGCTGGAATGGCCTTCCATTTTGTTTTGTATTTCTGTCTCATTCTTTTTTCTGAGATTTTCCATATCATGGGTTACCTCCTCTTTAATATTGTCAATTTTTGACCTGAATTCATTTTTCTCTCTGTTTTTGGTGGTCTCAGTTTCAGTTTGTCATTTATTTAGAGCTCTATGATTTCATTTATTTGTTTTTGTGTTTTCTCATATTCTTTATTTTTGTCCTCTTGGAATTTCTTAAGTGCCTCCTGTATGTTTTGGTTGACCATGTCGAGTAACATGTCTATGAAATTGTTATTAATTACTTGTAGGATGTCTTCTTTGAGGTTGCTCTTATGGGCTTCATTGGGTTCCTTGGTATAGTTTATCTTTGTTTTGTTGGAGTCTGGTTCTGGGTATCCGTTTTCTTCATTTCACTCTAAACCCTATAGTTCTTTATTTTTTGGAGGGGAATGGTTTCCTTCCCTTTTTCTTTTCCCATGTTTTCACTAGGTAAAATTTCTATCCCTGAACTATGTGTAATTTAGTATTAGCTGAATAACAATATTAATACTTACAAAACCAAGAAAGCATGATAAGAAAGAGAGAGAGATGGAAAGATAAAAGGAATAGAGTAGAGAGGAAAAGAGAAAAAAGTAGTAGAGATGGTGGATGATCAAACAGTATACCAAGCAGCAAATCCCTTAAAGACAGTAAAAAAAAAAAATCACCAGTTCTGGGACAGTAGAATTGCAGTCTTAGTTGTTCTGATGCTAGTTCTTTAGCATCCAGACCTGTCTGTGTGTGTCTCTTAGGTAGGTTTGGAGCCTTCCTGTGGCAGGTGGACGGTGGGTGTAGTCCCACAGGCCTATGGGTGGAGGCCTTTAGCATAGATGAAGTAGCAGGCTTGGTGTGCCTGAAGGGTGCAGGCTGGCGAAGTGGAGATCCTGCATGTCTGTGGATCCCCAGCTTGACAGGTCTTAGGGACACAGGCTTGTGGAGTGAATATTGTTCAGGGCTGTGCAGGCCTTGGGGCATGGCCCAGAAGAATGGAGATCATGTGTGTTTGTATCTCAGGTGCTGCAGGCCTTGGGGGTGTGGCCTGGCAGAGATCATGCAGAGCTGTGCAGGCCTGGGGTGGGGGTGTAGCCTGGTGGAGATTGTAAATGTCTGTGGATTTTTGGCACTAAGGGCTCATCCCATGAAGATCCCGTGGCTCTGAGGGGTGGGAGTTTGGGTAGCACAGCCCTGGTGGGATGAAGGAGCAGGGCTGGAGGATCAGAGATCCCATGGCCTACAGAGCGGCAGCTCCATGGGCCAATGGTTGGGGCTTGGTGTGCAGCACCTGCTATTCTTTTAGTATATGGTGGTCTGTAGAGGCCTCCCACAAGCTAGGGGTTCAGAGTACTGATGTTCAGCTCTCCCTGGTGCTTTACCTCAGTCAAGCATGTCTCCAGCTTCTTATCAAAGTCCCTGGATCATGGAGGTCAGAAGGTCTGTGGCTGAGTTCTGGTCACCATCTTGGATCTTCTAATGCATTGTTTTAAAAATACATTGTTTAAAAACACACCTTCTTCTAGTTTTCATTAAGAGAAGGTAGATATTTTTATTGTTCATTTACAAATGTGTCTAGAAAAGTTTTGAAAAATTTAACATGGAACACATATGAAGTTATTTTTATCTAGAAAGAAGAATCCTGAAAAAACAAGCAGAACTTGTCCATGACACAAGGATGTAGCAGACCATCCATCGTATTCACATACTATGGAGTCTTCACTTGTTTAAATTTGTTTTCAATACAACAAGGCATTCCTAGTCCAACTTGTCACTGAGTTTAAGCCACGTGCTCTTACTTTTGGTTTTAGCATTCTCAATTACTGGCATATCACATGATTCTAATGCATAATAAATTTGAGTATTTCATTTCTAATGTGATTTAGTGGACAGCCTGAGGAATTTTCACACCAAGAACAAAAAACTTTATTGATTAGTATGTGCTAACAAATGAAGTACTATATAAAAATAATCTAAGACCAATGATAAGATATTGTCCTGAAATTATTATAAATGAAAAACATATTCCTGTGTAATGTTTTCCCCTCACCTATACACTGAAAATTTTACTTTAAACAATTTTCTCAATTCAATTATATTTTTGCACTCATCTCATACTAGTAATAAAATAGGACATTAAAAATACATATTACATTTTTAGGAAGTCATTTTGAGAATTAAGATAACAGACATTAGCTGTGACATATGGAAAAGAGAAAAATGGATTAATTAAATTACAAGTTGGTGCATTTATTATGTGTGACATATTTTGTTTTGTAACAAAAAGTCTTAGGATAGATTATCAATAATTGTTTAGTATAAAGTGAGCCTTACATGGGGGCAATTTTTATCAATTTTCTTTAGTTAGACACTATAGTAAGCATAGAAGCTGCAGAAAAGAATAGAAGCTAGGATAGTAGGTTTGTATATCTTAAATACTCATCACATATAAAGAATGCTAAGTACATGTTCAAAAGTATCACAGACTGGCCTTCTGATAACAAAAATTAAACTAATCATTCTTATAAAAATGTTCATTAACCTTTAGGTAGAATGGCAGGGAAAACTTTCATTACAGTAAAAATTAGTACTACCTAAAAACATTTCTTTTTTTCTAATATCTAGATATTTATGAAGATTTTCTAAGAGGGAAGATATTCAGAAGTAGATCTATCTTATAGAATCAAACATAAATTATAATGGTAAATTTATTCTGAAATGATTCATTATGAACTCATAACTTATAGCATTAGTTTTATGTCTAGGAGCAAATGTTTTGATATCAGTTTGTGTCATGTACCTAAGACTCTAAAGCATGCTAGAAATCAGAAGTAGTGTGATTTTTCCTGAGAATTGCTTTAAGTGTGGGAATGGTTTGGATCTCTTAGGCACCTAGAACTCATTTGTCCAGTGGGTTTCTAGAAATCAGGTGAACATCTTGGATAGTCTATCAATATAGTTGCTACAGATTTTGGCCCCAGGAGTTTGAAATGTCATAAATGTGTGCTTAAAACACAATGAGTACATAGAGTTCAAAGAAGAGGAGAAAGAGCAGCATACTTATCTTTTCAAGCTCAATCATGTATAACTTAACTTGAAACTGGAAATGTAGACTTCTGTCAACTACTAGTTTCTTCCAGAATATGGCTTCATATATATATATGGATGAGAAGGAAATCAAGTGAGAACATTAAATATTTTGATTGTTTTGTTAAGGAACACATATTAAGTAAAACATTGTCTGATGAATGTTCATGCTGAAAGGGAAATCTGTCCGTCCTCAAACAGCTCTAAAAGAAAAGAATAAAGAATAAAAATCAATCATCTTTTAAATTTAAGAAGTTAGAAAAAAGCAAACAAACCCCAATATAATTATAAAATTTGGAAAAATAAAAGGAGCAGAAATCAAATAGAAAACAAATGAGAGAGACAATTAACACAGGAAAACTGATTTTTAAAGAAATTCATTAACACTGTAAATACCAGACAAGAATAATTGAGAAAAAAAGAGTTCCAGCTGTAAAAAATGAGAAAACTGAATTAGTTAAAACAACCTTACTCAGATATTAGAAAGAAAGCAGTGCCTGATTGTAATTGTAGAGAAAAAGAGACAAATCAGGTGACAAAGTGCCTTTGTGCTTGGAGGAACTTTCCAGAAAACAGCACAGAGGGAAGAATCCGAGCAGAAAATGGCAGGTTTTTTTTTTTTTTTGAAAGGAAGTAACAAAATCCATTGCATCAAGGAAATTGGTATCACTGGAATACCAATTTTCAGAACAGAAAATAGGAGAGGAAGAAGCCACTGAATGAAGAGCTCTAGGAATGTGTACCACAGTCCTCTTTATTCTTTGGCTGAATGCTGAGATAATGTAATGTAGGACAAAACATGAGACCAAGTGAGGACGCTACCAGAGGCAAATGTCTGCCAGAAGAACAGCAGGGTCAGATTCCCTGAGTACCCACAACACGGGAAACATTCAAATTTGGAGAGAGTGGAAGGTGACTTGACTGCCCAGATCATTCAGTAAGACTCCAGAAGAGGCCTTAATAGTTCGTATAACTTAAAAAGGATCAACTTAAAATTGATCAAACAAATTTAGTCTTCTAAAACAAAATTTAAAACAGGTCATCCACCAGGATTCCAATTTAAAATATTGAGAGATACAAACATAAAGAGCTTTAAGAGAAAACTATTTCTTTAGTCAAAAATAGAGAGAAGTTTAGAACATAAAAATAAGTTTGGCATATCTATCCAACCCTCGAAAACCCTCAAAAATGTTTTGGTAGTACCTACTCTTACTTCACCCACTCATCAATGAATAAACCACATACCAAAATCTGTGGAATGACTGCAAAACAGTATAGAATAAATTAGTTGCACTGAATATCTATATGAGAAAGGAATAGGATTCCAATCAATTACCTTAGCCTCTACCTGAAGACATTAAAAAAGTAGAAACCAGTAAACTTAAAGTGTTCAGATGAAGCATAATACAGCTGAGTTGAGATGATAAAGTAGAAAATAAAAGAAATTATATGTAATATGTATGTACAAAAACAATGAACCCAGAGCTGAGTGTATGGTTCATGTCTATAATTCCAGCTCCTGAGCAGGCAGAAGTAGGAGAGTCACAGTCTGAGACCAGGGCAAAGTTATCAAGAAATCCCATCTGAAAAACAAAATAAGGCAAAAGGGCAGGGGTGTGGCTCAACTGGGAGAGGACTTGAGGCCCAGAGTTGAATCCCCAATGCTGCAAACAACAATGAACCCAATACCTTGTTATTTTAGAAAATCCTGAAATTACTAAACTATTAGCAATGACAGGAATGGCATCACTATAGTTTCAAATTAAAAGAAAAATTATGAAATAATATAAACACTTTTATTTTAATGCTTTCAACAACTTGAATGAATTAATACAGTTATTGAAAACCACAAATTATCATGTCACTTAAGAAAAAGTAGATAATATGAATGTAAACATATTTAGTATAAAAACATGTAAATGTTATAAATCTAACAAAATACATGTTGGGCCACCTTTATGCTACAAACCACAAAACACTGTTGTGGTTAATTAAATGAAGAGATATATCATGTCCAAATTGATTGAAAAAACCAATAGCAGTATGATATCAATTCCTCTCAAATTGGCCAAGCATAGCATTTCCTACATAAGAAGGAGCTGAGGGCTGGAGGAGTGGCTCAAGAAGGAAGATGCCTACCTAGCAAGTGTGAGGCCCTGAGTTCAAACACCAGTGCACAAAAAAAAAAAAAATAAGATAGTAAAGGAGTTGATTTTAAAAGTCACATGGGAAGACAACTATAAGAGCAAAACAATTTTTCAAAATGTTGAGGAGACAGATACATTAGCCTAATTTAAACATTACATGATATATACATATATACAAATAGCACATTACCCAATTAATATGTACAATCAATGTTTTTCTGTACTGCTTAAAATTTAGTTGTCAAAAAAGAAAAAGAAAAGGAGTGGATTCATCATATTACAAGTTTTTAAGTCTTATAAAATTCAACAGTAATTAGAATGACCTGTGATATTGTTAGAAAAATAAACACATACAGTAATGAAAAGAATAGGACATCCAGAACAAGAATCACATACAGTCAACTGTAATTTTTAACAAAAAATCAAAAATAAGTCAATGGAGAAAGCAAAGTCTTTTCAACAAATGGAAATAGAGCAATTGGGCATTCAGATAAGCCTCAACATATTCCTCATTCCTCATCAAAAAGTAACTCAAAAGTAATCATATATCTAAATGTAAAATGTAAACATTTAGAAGAATATATGACCTTGGTTTTGAAAAAGAAATTTTAGATGACACAATAAATGCAATCCATAAATGAATTATTTGATACATTGTACAATATCAAAATTAAAATCTTTTGCTCTATAAAAGACAATGCTAGAATAAACAATGAAGCTACAAATGGGAGAAAACTCATCTAAAAGACCTGTCTGACAGACAGTATACTGAGGCTATATTAAATATATATATATATAAATAGCTATATTAAATATATATATATATATATACATATATATATAAATGGCAAAATTCAGTAGTAACAAAATAAATAACCAAATTAAAATGGGCAAAAACTTAAAAAGAATTCTTAAAAAGAATTGCCACAAAAGAAGATTGCAAAATAAGCACAGAGAATTATGCTCATCAG